GGAAAGTTAATGTATTTACAAACAATTCCAAGGGTGAAGAGATGGATGTTAACATCTTTGAAATGGGTCTTAGTGTCTCTACTTAAACTTCAAGCAGCAGTTTTGTTACAGCGCCTAAACAGCTTGGCTCCTGAAACAGAAAAAGGGGTCTGCACAAGCCTGAACTTCTGGACGTTGGGGTAAAATCGGAGGTTCAAGGGGGTATATGTGGTAGGTGGTTTGGGAAGGCTGTACCTTCCTAGTACCTCAGCCAATGGGGTACATGCGGCTGGGGGTTTGAGATAAAAAGATGCTGTGCCCTCCAAAACAGAGAGAGAGAAAATCCCAGTGGGCGTGTGCCCCAGAGGACTCTCTCCCTTTATCCAAATAAAGCTGCAAGACTCCTCTGTCTCTTTTATGGACATAAACCCCTGGCGTTTGTGCATTTTCTTGTCGGTGGCACCTCACTGGAAGGGGAGGATCAGCTTTGCTAGTGGGACCGGGCAGGCTCACACCCAGCTGTCCCTGGCACCTGTCCTCCACCTGCAGCAGTGCCGCAGTGCCGGAGCCCCTGGTCTATCCTGCCAGCCTCTCTCCACCCGGCCCGGGGGGGCTCAGCGCTGCAGGGGAACCCCGGGTAAAGCTGCAGCCTCTTGTAATTCAATTTTGGTTTTATTTCTACAGTGGGTGAGTTACAGAGCTGTTATTATCTAAAATCAAAGCCAGTCGTAAGCAAGCAGCTGGTACGTAGTTATTATCACAGTGGTGTGTGAACAGAAGTGGGGTTGGGGTTTTTTTAGGTATGGCATGGTTTTCTTAATTTAGCAAAATTTAACAAAAAACTGCCTCAGCTAAATTGCTTTCTTGAATTTTTAGGTTTTTTTCTTTCACTGTTTTCATTTTTATATTGGGTTAATTTAAGAGAAAAAGCAGTACTTAAATAAAAAGTCAGTTTTTTAGATTTGACACTGACCACAGAAATGCTTCCTTCTTTATGGACTTTCATTTTGAAGATAAATTTGTTGTATTTAAACCAAAGTGGTGGGGTTTTTATTGGTGTTTTATTTTTGTTTGTTTCTTTCTTTCTTTGTTTGTTTTAAATGCCAGAGGTTAATGTTGTGTCAAATATACTTTTTGAAAGGTACCAACCCCAAATGTTCACATTAGCATATGTAGACATTTGTCACCATGCCAAACTAAGCTGAAAGACTATTGAAGGTCCAGGTGTTTTGGTCACTGAAAAGCCTAACACAAACCATTTCAGTCCCACAATGCACTGCTCTCAAGAATGAACCCCAATAGTTATCATTTCCCCCAATATGGTGGAAGAGCATAAAAAGTCCAAGGGCAGGCATATATTGTCTTGTATTATAACCATGAATATATGGCTTTATTGAGCTATATAGCAATAAACATCTTATGTATAGTGAGTTTATAAGCAAAGACCTAATTTCTTATAATCAGGCATTAGGCTAGGAAAACGGACATATAAACCTCGGTTTTGAAAAGTGGTTTGGGGTGACCATTTATTTTTCTTACAGATATTATCATGGAAAGAGTGGGGAAAAAACCCACACAATAATTTTATTTAAGAGTTTGCAAATTGAACAGATAACTATGGGAATGTAATAAAAGTTCCCATTTTCTATACACGTGAATTTTTTTTTCCTTAAAGCTCCTTCAGGATAGAACAAAAAAGCTAATAAGAATAATGGCATTTTTTTTACACCTGTTTCTAACTGAAATACTTATTTATAAGTGAGGATTGGCTGAAATGACAGTAAAATATCCGCAGTGAATCAGAGTTAAGGTTTGAGACTTGTATTGAATCAGCATTTTATATATTGAATCACATTTTATAATGTCAGATTCTTATCAGAAGTTCTCACAGTGGTTACTGATGACAAGTAACACCCAGAAACTCAGATACTGGGCACCCGTTTTATTAAGATCTGTACAAACATGGAATAAAAGAGATTCCCTGCCCCAAGCTAAAACAAAATATGTAAAAAATGAATTATGATAAAAGATAAAAACTAAAAATTCTCAAAGGCTACACAGCACAAGAATAATGAAATTAGAAACTGTCTCTCAATTCTGATCCACTGTATACCTAGACCACTTTTGGCACAGATTTCTGTCCTCTAGAATGTTCTCTTTCAGTGCCTGACTGCAGTTGACTGAGAAGAGAAACACAAAAGCTAGATTTACCTGCTCCATGCCGACAGAGTGTGCAAAGCCGTATGCAAAACAAAAGTTGTCTATTGCTGCAATAGACAGCAATAGACAAGTTAAAGTCTTATTAGATAATAAGCAGAAGTATTATGCCACATCTGAATGTATCACCTTCCATGACAAAGGTGTTTTCCTGTGTTTTCACTATTCATATTGCTGCATCATGTGCAAAAAATGTAACATTTCAGAGATAAATAACTGATATCCACCATGGACACCCATATTTTTTAGGTGACCAAACAAAATATATTACTGGGATCTGGATTTTAACCTCATTTATACTTAATACATACATAAAACTAAGTCTACCTAATCTCTGTAGGCCAGTTTCCTAGCCAGTTTATTTCCTTTTCCTTTCCCTTAACTGACTGGGGGTAGGAGGTGTTCTGATACTCCATGATTTTCTTGTTTTCTTTGAAACTTTAAACTGTTTTGAACTTGTCTTGAAAACATTTTTCTTTTTTTTCTCTCATGCTTTTTCTCCTTTAGTGTTTTTTTAACATCAGAGCTGACTTTTAACTAGCTTTTCCACTTGCATAGCACTGCAGCTCATTGTATTTCACGTTGGCAAGCTGGGTCAAATCTAGCTCACTCTAGATATATGGTTTATTCCAACTACCTTTGATTTTTATATCCACATGTTGCCTAATTTTACAAGGACTTCTTAATAAACTGCTACGAAAATGTTTTGGGGACATCTGTCAATATTATTGCCATTGTGGCTGCAACACACAGGCAGAAAAAAAAACCTGCTGGTGAGACTTCCTATTTTTTTCTATGTACTCAAGTGAATACTTCCTAGTAAATACAGGCAGTAAAGTCAGATGAGTCTTGACTTCTTATCCTGAAATGACCACCTGCTGTATTGATTTTTTCATCAGCCGAGTCAGTAAATGTTTCAGCTGTATATATTCTTTCTTACTGGACATGTTATGTTTTGGAGATGTCTTTTTTCACTGTCTTTGATTTTCCATACTACCCACTCCAGTGTGAAACAGATTGATCAATGACACTGCTGCTACAAGTATTGCTGATCATTTGTTTTAAGCTCTGAGTCTGTTTTCCACAGGCACTCTTGATCTTTCCTTAACTTTTGCAATCCACTTTATCTGGACAACTTCTCTACTTTGCATTCTATTATGTCGCTTATGTTCTGTTTTGATGATTATTCTTTTCATTATACTTTCTGTGGATCTTTTTCCCATTCACTTTCTCTCATGGTGTTGACTGAATTATTTTTTCTCCTTGTTAGAATTTTCTGTGCCAGCAAGCTGCTATTATATTTCCTTAACTCTCACTATCTAGTCTGCCCAGTATTCTGTTTCTCTCTGTCTATGACACATCCTCAGGAAGTCCTGCTACTGGTCTGTTCTTTTTTTTTTTTGAATCTTTCTTCCAAAATCATAATCTTTGACACTTTCCTATCATCTTACACAACTAACTAGTCACCCTGTCATTCACTTCACAATCTTGTGGTTATTTTTTGCTTTCTGCTTTTCTTTCCTTAAGCCTTCCCAGATCTCATTATTTCATAGTAATGTTTTGAAATCCTATTTCTTGCATCACTCTCACAGTATAAAATCCCAGAACTCTCCCTGGTCTTTCTCACATGCTGTGACCATTTTCTCAGTTCTGACTCTGTACCACTCCTTCAGGCCATAAAATGTGCAATGGAGATGAAACTGCTTCTAACCACTTGCTCCATCATTCAAGCCTTAAATCTAGTTCTTGAGGCTTTTCATTCACTCCTATCCTTAGCATAAAATTTATACTTCCTGAACTCTATATACTTCATTTTTCTAATTTTCACAATTAAACATGTATAACAAGTACCAGAGAAATCTGTAATTCTAGTAGAATGTTCAACTGGGAACTCCTTAGCAGGGAGTGCACAAAATAAATGCCAGAGAATTCCTGAGGATTCTATTACCTGTGACAGAATGGCCCCGAGACCATAGTCATGTCATAGACCAATATAATCTGAGCATTGAAATCTGCACAGATTTCAAATTAAATTTTAACAGAATACATTTTCTTCCTGTTTTTTAAAAACAAATATTTTTCTGATATTTTATTTAATATTGACTCCATAGTGTCAGATTAGAGGCTTCAGATTTAACTACTCTGTTGGAAATTATAGTCCTGAGATAATTTTAGCTAACTTTAATGTTCTGTTGGAGCATGAGACTGTATACCTGATGTGTTGCTGCCTTGTTACAGGAGTTTATTTCCTATAGGTTGGAGGAACATAGATTTGGTAGATGTATACACATATTTTAAATTACTCTTTGCAGGTAACCTTATTATACTGGATATGAAGCAGGATAAAGAATGGACATTGGTAAGGTGAAAGAATATATATGATTGATTCAGCAGCTAATACTGAAGAAAACAATATATACACACACACAAAAAAAATTCAGAGAACAGATTTAAAAGAAACAGCCTATTGTCTATCAATGAGGGGGAAAATGTCTTAGAACAATAACCCCACATATTCTAGTGGGATGTGGAAAATGTTCTTATTCAAGAATACATTTGGTATTCCAACTGCAGAAGAATTTGTGATAAAGAGTGACAGTGAGAAAGGCAGACAATTGTTGCATATGCTGAGATGTTGAGTTTTCTGAGATCAGGTTTGGTTTTTTTCTTGTTTGTTTCTTTGGATTTTGATGTTTTTGTTTGCTTAGTTGTTTTTGCTTTTTTTTTCCTTAGATTCTATAAAGTAGCTACTGGTGCTTCCAGGAAACAATCAAGTTCAAAACAAAGCACATGCACTATAAGAATCTTGGGAAATAACATATTGCAGAGGAAGTTTATTTAAAAAATAAAATGAAAGCATTAAAAATTAATTAAAAGTAACTGAATTATAACCAGTGAAATTCATTAAATGGTATTACAGAAAAATCAAATATGAACAATATCTTTATGAAACACGTGCTTGATTTTTTTTTATAAAGTTACACCTTTTTTTTTCCCAAATAAACATCCAGATTATGGTTTGGCTTCACTTTTTTTTTAATAATAGTAAAGCCATTAAAACTGGGATAAACAATAGTTCTACTGTAGCATTTCTCATTTTGAAGGATTCTGAAATATATTGCAAACATAATCCAATATAATATAAAGTGAAGACCTCAATCATCATGAAGACAGACAGTTTAAAGCAGAAAAAAGATAGAGCATACAAATGAAATTTCAGAGGCAGTTATAAAGGAGAACTAAGATAACAAAACTGCTGTGTCCAAAACACTCTATTTGACAGCGCTGTTCCTTGCAAGATGGTCAATGTGTTTCAGTCACAAGCAGTGTAACTGATTGGCCCAAGGGGACTAGAAAGATGGTTTGTTTCTGGTTGTCAGCGTATTTTTATTGTGACAAGTTTTTGGTGTTTTTTTTTTTACCAGCTATAATCAACTCAAGCAGCAACAGTTTCTCTGCTTCACAGTTCCAATAGCATGGTACTGCTGTCTCCTTTCCTGTCATGTTGCCACGGCTGTCAATGATTCAGTAGAACTCCAGAATCAGAACTGTCACAGAAACAGAAATATAAAATCATATTGTCAAACTGCCAAAGATTTCACTGCAATCATATTGTTTTGTTAAGGCAGTCTGGTTTTAAATGTCCTAATCAATGGAAAACTTTCTACTTCCCATAAGGAAGCTACAGAAAAATGTTAGAAACATTCCCCATATACCTTTTTCTAGTACAGTCTGCTTTTACTGCCTTTAGGGAGCTGTACGGATTTCTGAATCTCCAACTGGTCTCATAACCAGCTAATTATGTAGCGTTTCTGTGAGTTAACCTACAGCTGAGCACCACACAGTTGCTCACTCCCTCTCCCCCAGACTCCAAAGGGTTGGAGGAAAGAATAGGAAGACCAAAACAAGAAAACTCATAGCCTGAGACACATATACTTTACTATGCAAAGACAAAATGAAACAGGAAACCCCAAACAAACAAACAAACAAAAAACACCCCAAAACCCCCCACATAAACAAAAGCAAAGCACTTAACACTTACAGCCACCTTTGAGCAAGAGCTACCTTTCCCCACCCCCCATCGAAGAAAAACCCCAAAATCCTCTGCAGCTTTTTATTGCTGAGCATGATTTTATCTAGCATAAGACATCCCTTGGTGATCTCAAAACAGCTTTCCTGGTTGTGTCCCCACCCATCTTCCCACACATCCCCAAAATACTCACTGAGGAAAGACTTGGAAAGCAGAAAGGATTTCATACTACGGAAGTGCTGTTCAGCAATAGCTGAAACATGCTATCAATGTTGGTTTAGTCACAAATGCAAAGTGCAGCACCATACTGGCTGCTAGGAAACAAATTGACTCCATCCATGCCAGACTCAGTACAAGAGTTCATCCAAACACAGGGCCCTTCATCCTACCTTGAGCTAGAGAATAATGTTAGAAATTTTGTAGCACAGAGATGACAGGATAATCACCAAGTGCAGTCTTATTCAGTAAGATTTCAGGTGCACTGCCTAGACACTTTAGTGATTGTTAGAAAAATATGGAACTTTCTGTATATATGTTTATTCTAGGTTTTTATTGCTCTGTGAGATTCCTTGGAAATACTAGGACCATCACAGTCCAGGGGAGAGTGTAATCTCTATACTGTGTGGCAAAAAGTCAATTCAGCCCTGTCTCACTGGAGTGTTCTCTAACAGCTTTAGGACTGCTTTAAACTACAAGAGGAACACAAATTATATTTAATGCAGCTACTAGTAATAATTTAATCTCCAAAGAATTTCAACTTTTGCATTTTGGAAAGAAAAACTTTCAGTTCCAAGAAGATATTTTACCAGTATTTGCAGATGACTGTAGTCATACTATGAGAACACTAAGAAGCCTTAACACCATAAGCAAATATAGTGGGTACTGCAATCAATAGTTCAATATGTAGGGTACAACCATTTCAATTTTATAAGGCTGTACACGACAAGTGTCTTTAAATCAGTTCAGCAGTTGACAGGAAGCAGTATTCCAGTTTAGTACCAATTTAGTGTTTATAGAAGTTGCATTTACAGGGTACACTAGCCATTGAATTTTGTACAAACTGAAGTTTATGTACTGAAGTAAACATCTAGGATAACCTCAGGGTATAAGTATTAAGAATATATAGCTACGTTCTAAAAATAGATAAATAAAGACCTGTGTGTCTGGCTGATGTCGGGATATCTTGGGAAGGACACTGTAGCTTAATTTTCTTATTGTTAAACCAATGGGAGTCAAAAGTAGTATCAAGATAAGACTCGATGTTTAACATCAAACTCCTTACAGAGTTAGATCAGTTGTGATATTCATCACCACTGTGCTTAACTTCTGTGCTCATGAAATAAAACAGAGTCTAAACCATATACATAATTTTCCTGTATTGAATGGAAAATGCTAAAACATTAATCACATAATTAAGTCCCTGAGTTAGACTTATACATTGTCAACTGCAAGAGACAGACTTCTTTGAAGCATGAGAAAGAAGACATGATAACTTTGGAACTTCTAATCATTGATTCACTCTATGTGAATGAGTTATCTCTCTGCATTGTGAGTTTGATTTACGGTAACTTACATTCCCCAGGCAGGTAATGTAAACACTCTCACTTAATCAGTCCAGACCAGGATTCACAACTGGACTAGACAACAATAACTAATGGGATGTCTATAAAAGGTAGCTTAAATATTACTGATCCTGAAATACGTTACCCAGAATTTTGAGTGCATCTTTGTCAAAGGAGGAGTCTCTGTTCACACCCTCAGCTGAAGGTAAGAGACAAATGTATCTCTTTGAAAACTGGTAAATTTATTTGAGGCAACAGCCTGGCTATAAAAGCACTCACAACACAAGAGAGTTTACAGAAATTGTCAACATGAGAGAAAGTTATATGTCTGTCAGAGAAGTTTCCTAATCAACTGTCTGTTGGCTGTTATGGGGTACTTTTCTTGGTGAAGCAAAGTATTTTGCAAAAAGTACTAAAAGGATTTATAGGCATATGTTTCTCCTACTTTAAAAAAATAGTAGGAAAGAAAAAGTATCTATATGTATCAGTTATGCCTCTAATTAATCAGTATCATACTGGATCTAGCTTCACATAAATACCACGAATAAACATGTATTATAAACACTGTGTGGATTCTCTTTTTGCATGTCTTTCACTGTGGACAGCATTTCTCATGAATGTTTTAGAAATGATTCCACATTCCAGCTTTACCACTCTTTGCCCATCCTTGTAACAGCACAACCAAATCTCTCAGGCTTTGTGATATGCACATTAACTAATTTCACCGTTGCTTTTTTCTAGGGTGCCAATGAATAGTTTTGCCTACTCATGCCAGTCAAAGCTAAGACACAGTCCATTCAGCTGGCAGTGACAACCCTCAGACAACAGAGTCTGCACCTGCTCTGATTCTTAACTTGAAGGATGGCTCTGTCTCAGTACAGTTTTTTTCATAGTGTTGCCTTAGAGAACTGTAGCTTCAATGAAGTCATTGTTTCTGTCATTAACTGCTTGAATAATTCATTACTTAACAGAAAACATCCCTCTTTGCTCTCTGTTTATTCCATTGTTTGTATGTTTCAAAATAAATAAGGCAATGAGTAATACAGTGACTATTCTGAAAAAGAATTTGCTTACCCAAGGAAAAAAAATGCTTGGCACAAGTAGGGAACTAAAAAAAACAAAAAAGAAAAGGAAAAAAAGAAGAAAAGTTTGTCTTTTTTTTTTTTTTATTTTACACACACTGTGAAGTATGTGTCTCAAAGAAACTGCTTTGATTACAAATAAATGTAATAACCAAAAAAAATGAGCAGACTATTTGATGCATAATTACAATCACAATTAGTATGTGATTGATTTATTCATAATGATGTTCTGATTTCCTTATAAAAGTAGGTACAGAAATCTTCTAAGCTTGGGAAGCTGAAGATGCAGATTAGTATCAGGACTAGAGGAGTCACAAAGATAAGCTGTGTTCCAGCTTGCACCAGTAAACAGGCAAGAGGTAATAGAGGGCATAACTCTGCAGCATATGCTGCATGTGCTTCCTGTGAGTTATGAATCATGCATTATGGGAGTCATCTGTATCACGAAATTTGTATGGGGTGTTTCCTAAGTCCATCCTTAAAGTATGCCAATGTTTCCACATACTAGTCTGGAGTGACTGTTACTGCTTTATGTACTTTGATTCCTTTTTGTTTTATTCCTCTTAGATAAGAGATTTAAATGATAGGAAGTCAAATAGCTCAGTAATGTGTCTGAAATCATGGGTAATAGGATAATTGGCAAGACCAACCTGCTGATAAGGCATAAGATAGGATAGGATAAGATATCTTATGGTAGTAAAATGTACTGACAGCCCTGAATTCTTTTAAATATGGAGCAGTTCTGAAACATAATCTGTTAGTGTAGCTTCCTAAATCATTCTAGAATCTTGTCAGCAATGGTTTGTGTGGCCTAAAAAGGTAAAATGCATCTTTTACACGCATCTACAGCACCTACATGCATCTACAAAATGTAAAGAAGTGACAAAAATTTAAAAATTATTTCTGTGAATAAACCCAATTAAGAATAAATAGCAGATAATGTATTATGGCAGGAGTACCTACTTTCCTGGATGATAAGTGGCCAGCATCAGTTTTCTATGCCATTTCTGCAGCACTACAGTACAGCTATGAGAGGTACAACCACGACCCTGCCACACCTCACCCCCAGCTGTGGGAATGAGAAGGGCAGGAATCCTTGGACAACAGAAAGCTCTCCCAGACGATAAGAGGCAGAGACATTTCAGGACCATGATCATGTGTGACCATGAGCCCCAACCCACTAGGTTAAAAATGGGGCCCTGACAGAAACCATGTGTAGTGTTTTTTGAATCAGTGTGTCAGCAATGGGAAACCTCCCCTAGGAAATGGGATGGCATTCAAGGAGACTTCACAGGGCTAAGTGCTCTCCTCCCATTCCCAGGTGAATGACTATTTTTCTGCTGAATATCCTTGAGCAATTCCGGGATCTTTTGGGTGAAACAAATTGATTTACTGGCTAATGCTGAGTGAGATGTCCCCCAGGGACTGTGCATGAGCAGGTGTGCACTTGGGGTCATCATTCCCATCTATGTAATAATGATATCCCTGACAGGTATCAGTGTACCTGTTAAATGTTATTGGCGTGTCATTATGGTTACCCCCATCATTTGTTAGTTTTGGCCATTGATTTTGGTTGAGAAATAAATTTTGCCTGAGTTTGTTATTTGTTTGAAGTTGTTTTCATGTGCCTCCATGACACATGTGCAACAATGCAAAAATCAGTTGAACAAGTATGGCCAAATTTGAGCATGGTGGTATGCAAGAAGATGCAAAGTCTATAAAGGCTATCTATACACCTGTAAGGGATTGTTCTGCTGTTCTGAGGTTAAAAGGACTGATGATAAAATACAGGAATCAAAGAATAAGATTCTGATTCTTGCTGAATTCATTAGGATTTTTAAAATTTATTTTGTGGGGACCAGATTTCATTAAATGAGTTTGCAAATACATGTGTGTATAAATAAATGCAAATATATTCACACAAGAGAACATGTAAGTATCTCTATGCAAGGTAATAAAGAGGATATTGTTAATACTAATATATTAGCAATCCTTGGGCAATGAAAACTAAGTAACTATGGGAATGAGTTGAGAGAATTGGGGTTCAACACATTTTTGGAAAATTCATTTTAATGGTGTTCTCATATTACTAATGCAAGTAAAAGTGCCAAATAGAGTTTTAAATAGACTTTCTGCATAAATTATGCTTGTTTGATATTCATAAAAATCTTTTTCTCTTCATATATAAGCAGGAGTATCTCTTTTATAGATCCCTGGAGCATAAAACTGATGAAAGTGGGGGTAAAGTGAGCCAAAAATTGGTGAAAAATACTTTCAAAAATAGGCTTGGTTTAATACACTAGAAAGTTCCATATTATTAATTACACATAACATAGATATTTTCATTTTACAGTTTACAAATGGTTTACATTTTACATTTTTCATTTTACACCAAACTATGCAGCCTTTCCTGTGTTTCTAAGTCACATTTTTAAAGGGACCAAAATTTTTCAGGCTCAAGGGAATGGATTATTTTATTTGTTATATGCATTTGGCACTATCCAACACATTGTAGTAGATTGTACTTTCATTTAGGAATATCTGCTTTTTTCATGTATTACAGAGGAAATAATAGGTGCATTAAGATTTAGAAATAAACTCTTAGAGAGCTATTGACAAGAGAAAACAAGGAGAAAAATTACTCCAATAAACATTTGTAGAAGGGCAGGTAAGTAAGTGTGCATTTTAATAGGCAGGTATGTACAAGTAAGCTATTTTTCTAAAAATATGATTCTTACCTTATGATGTTACAAATTTCTAATTATTTTTAAAATAATATATTTTTCTAAAAATTTTACCTATTTTTTTTCTGGTTAGGATGTATTGCAAAATTTATAAGTTTCCTTAAAAGGAACTCCTACGGCCATGTCTCAAGTTTTAAATACTTCAGTACACAAGGCATTTCATTTTGCAAGTCTCCTCACGCTTTGTGTAGTGGCCTCTCACAGCTGGGCCCCTGAGATCTATTGCAATTGAAATGTAAGATTAGTCAGAATAATAACATGCTAACACAGTGATGCTAGCAATGCTGTAAGATCTGTAGTTAAACTTATAATTATGGTAACTGCTATTCCGAAAATCTGCAAATCCTGAGATCATCCTTACTGACAGTCCCTTTCTACTAGTGCTCTTAAAAAACTGCCATAGCAAGACACACTGTCACTGCTGCTGGAAAATTCTGCCCTGGCAATATGTAATCTCATTTTTAACATGCTATTCCTGCTTTTCTCAGATCGCTTGCCAAACCATGGAAGTAGTGCATTAAAAATAGAATACTGTGCATGGAAGAGAAGAGACATGAGGTACCAGAAAGGGAAAATAAAGATCTAAAATAGGACTAGAATGATTTGGCTGCCTACTGAACATTAAGAGACTCATTCCCTTTTTTTTTTTTTTATTGCAACTTCCTTGAAAAAGCTGGAGAGAATTTTCTATACCTTCCACGAGCATTCATCTTGGTCTTCTTTAGGACTACTCTTCTACTTTGGGTCTACTCTTTTTTTTTTTCATGCAAGAAGTATTTGATACAGCCTTTGTACTATGCCTGAACACTTTGATGTTGCTGCTTAATCCAGCACCCAGGCTCTGCAGTGCAAAAACAGCTGACATGTAACAGCACTGCTACTAGGATATATCAGTAGTGTTATTTTTAAGGTTTCATATAATCCATAAAGAATGGATTTTATAAGGTATGTGATCAAGAAAACAGAATCAGTATAATTTTCATTTGTCAGAAACTTGTCCCTGGTGTAAAGTCTTGGTGCATGCCCAGGCTTGGCTTAATCTGTCTAGGTTTTGCCTTCTCAGGACCATGCAAGTATTGGGTAGCCTGTTTGTCAGCTCAGGTAAAACCAACCTGGGTTATTTCTGCATGACAAACAATATCTCCTTCTGTACCAATAGTTACAGTGACCAGGGAAAAGTTTAATAATAGCTTGCGGGTGAACATGGCCTAACTTCAGCTGAGAATTAATGAAGAAGAAAATAAAAAGGAGGAAGCAGATTGTTAAGATTATGCCTAAAAGGAATACTGTGGACCCATGACTGAGGAGGATGATTAGGATGGGGGCTTCTGGAGGCAGCTGAGAGGGAGCCAGGACAGGCATTGGCAGAAGCCACCTTACCATGTAGCACTGGCCAGGTCCCATTGTTGCCTTTTCTGAACATGTGAGTGCTACTAAATGCATTAAAAT